ATATGTGGCACTATTCGTATAAATAGAGGTGTACCAGTATGTTTAAAAACTGTACAACTAAAAAAAGGAGAGACCGTTTATCGCAGAAAAAAAGATGTTTTGGTACAAATCTGGAGATCCAAAAATGTCGCTCAAACATAAAGTTACGAGACTTATCATAAAGAGCGCAGTCCATGAAAAAACGTTTAGTAGTCTCTCCGTTAAAGCCACACGCACACGCTGTGACTTTTCTAATCCACCTCTAGTAAAGAGATAGTCATTTAGTTGGGATCAACTCTATATCGTGTATGATGTATCTCCAACCGCCGATCACGCATTAACGGTAAACGAAAGGACGGAATATATTGCAGGACTAATTTGAGTTTGAGATCAGTCAATTTATGTGTTGAACGTATATCATTAGGTAGAAGATTCCATACACGAATACCCTCCCGAATAAAGGATTTCTCCCATAGTGCCCGACCTCTTAAGTTCAAGGGGATGTCTCCTCGACTCAACCTTCGAGTTTGATAAACCTGGGTCTGGGATTCAATAAGATAAGTAGCAGTTTTACTATGCATGATTTTATGAAATAAACACATGCGTCTAACATAGATAAGCTCATTAATTGATAACCACCCTAAGTCTTTAAGAAATTTCACATGTGATGTGTCCCTCATAGCATCAGAGTCAGCTAAAGCGGCCTGATATTGAATTTGGCTCAGGCAATTGATATTGCGTAAGTCAGTACCACTATAAATAATGATTCCGTAGTTGAGAATACTCAACACGAAGGCATGATGCACAGAGTCAAGAGTTTGTCGAGAAGCCTGCCTACTCAAAAACTCATCGATCCAACTGTATGTGACAAACTAATATAAAGGCTATTTATATTCAATCTCCAATCCAAGGTTGTAGTCAAGGTTAATCCCCAATAGACATGCTTCTCAACATACTCTAACACAATATTGCCAATGAACAAAGGAGGTAGATGGCTCGGGTTGCTTCCACAAGTGAATAGCATACAACCACACTTATTGACATTTAGGAGCAACGCCCATTTCCTGGACCACTGGCTGATTTTTTTCGCAAGTCTTGATTCAAAACTGGCGCAGCTGTAGTCAAATCATCTGCCTTGAGGTACAGCGAGATATCATCTGCAAATAGTTTGAAGTAGACGTGGCAGGTCATCAATGTAAGTTAAAACCAGTAACGGACCTAGGCAACTGTCTTGAGGTACCCCACAAGTAACAAGGAGTGGATTAATCTATATTAATCAAAGAAAAACCAGAAAAACGATAACGCTGTGACAAAAAACGGTCAAAAGTGTCACAATCTTACCGTTTTTCTGGTTTTTCTTGATTAATACAGATTAATTAGAATAGTTTCGAGCTTGACAAGCTATCGCATCTTGTAGAGCAAACAATTTTCTACAAACTGGTATACTTGTTCAATGTTTACCAGCTCCTCTTCACTCTTTTAGACACGCTTTTCAGATAGCCCAAAAATCGATTTTCGGGGCTATTTGTACCACAGCTGTATTTTCATATCGAATCAACGTTCAGAGCCGAGACACTTTTCATTTTGTAGAGAAATGTTTAATCTACTTCATTATCTAGTTGCTATCTTAGATCAGTTTGTGGGTTTATTGTAATAACTTTTTGAAAAAGAGCAAAAATCGGAGGTCCTTAGCTGAACATGCCGCGAGGCCTTGTATTTTGGGACGAACAGTAGTTTAAATTATTATATGTTTAGAGAAAAAGTTTAGAAAACAATTTTAGAAAGAAAACGTTTTCAAGTGACATACCATTTATTTTAAATTTCGTACTAGAAAGTCTAGCTGAGAAAACAATCCCTTGACACTTATCAGCACTAAGTTTCGCAAGCATTCTAGCGCACCACTTCGACATTTCGCATACACATTTTTGTGCTATGTTCATATTTAAACTATCCCTCAGATCAACCATACAGAAAGTATCGTCCGCGAATTGAAACGTCAACTGTGCTACCGCCAAAACAGTACAAAGGTTGTTAATGCTGATGAGAGAAAAAATCGATCTTAATATACTCCCGTGAGGTGCTCCTGATGTACCGGCACGCTTTTTGTGTATTAAGATTTGACAGAAATTATTCAAGCAGGACCAGATAAAAATAAAATGCTATTCCAAAATTAAAGGGCATTTTTATCAGCTTTCTATAATCACAAGTTCCAAAGAGCAGGACACATCCTTTTATCCACTAATAGAAAAATAGAAAAATCTGATGCCGCTGCGGTAATAGAATGCCTACAATACGTGCAGTTAGGGATACTATACATTTTGGACACAAACCTCCCTGTTGTGTAAGGGCAGCTACCGACATGTTCTGAAAGAAGTAGCTCAATCGTAGTCCAGTAGGAACGACTACAAGAAACAAAAATATCAGAAAATGTAAAAAGCAATGGTTTTAAAATCACTTTATATTTCATGTACTTCGTCGACTTTGCTACCTAAAAGCCAAAATCCGAATCTTGCTGAATGTAAAAAACCGAAAGCGTCAATTGTCCTGGGCTAACATTTTCTAAGCCGAATGAAATGTCTTCGAGTTCTTCAAAATCTTCGAGAGTCTGACACGAACTTCTACAAATATACTTTATTTTTGATTTTTTAAACATATCTATTAGTATACTTTATTTGCATTAAAGAAAAAAAATAATGGAATTTTTAATCGAAAATATGTTGATTCGGAGTAAGAATACCAAGCGGATCGTACCTTTTCTTATATTTCGATAAACGAGCATATTTTGATCCGTATTGTTGTATCCATTCACCTTTTGTATATGCAATATTAAATAACCCTTTTCCACCTAAGCCGATTGCAGCAGTTTTGACTCTCAAATTATCAGCTTCGGCCGCAGCAATTAAAGTGGGGTCAGGCGATGCCGTTCTTAACATATCAAATAAAAATATGACATTAGAAGGATCTGAAGGAAAAGCCAATGATGTTTTTGAATTGATTAAATCCGTCGGAATTGGGTACAATAATACAGGACCATTGATTAAAACTGGATTAGATGAAGCAACTGCAGAATTATAGAATTTTGTTATATTCGAAGCAGGCAACCACAAATCTAACCATGGATGGGGGAAATCCCAGACACCAATTGATATTAAATAATCCACTGTTGCTTGCACTCGATTTAAAAAGTCAAAATAAGTTGAATCAACATCAGTTAATGAATCGGTGTTAAAATGTGAAATTGAAGCTAAATAACTATTTGTCGGTAAAGTAGATGGATTATCGTAGTATTTCGCTAGTTCAATTGTAAATGTAAACGGATTCGATGACACATTAATCGAACCTTCAACGTAATCAAACAACTTTTTTGGATCATTCAAAAACATTATTTGATCCGATGTGAATGATTGAATATCACTGTAAACGGCTGTGTATGTTCGTGTTTTTAGCGGTGCAATTCGAAGTGGAATTCTTGCACGAACAATAATACCAAATTGTCCTAAGCCACCTAATACAGCATAGAATAATGCCGAATTCGATGTTGGCGAACAAGTAATAAAACGACCTGTACCAGTTATAACATCCAGTTCTAATACATTCGAAATTTGAGGACCAAATCGACTTGCTTGACCTGAAATACCAACATTCGATAACGTACCGCCAACTGATAATGTTAATACATCAGTCCAAGAACGTGGTGATAATGGAGGGTTTAATTTTAACGTTGCTTTTAATATTTGCAACCATAAAATACCAGCTTCAACATCTATCCATAATTTATTAGTATTGATATGTAGAATCGATGATAATCCACTCATATCTATGATTATACCCGTTTTATTTAGTAAATTTTGATCGTTTGTTGCATGACCATTTCCACGACAAGCAACAAATATTTTAGTTTTTCTATTTTTTAATTTTGAATTATAACGATAAACAAACTGAATTAATTTAACAATATCCTTAGCTTTACCCGGTTTTAAAACAGCAGCAGGTGCTAATTTCAGTAAATGACCAAAGTTATCTGAATAATTACTTAATTTAGTAAAAGAAGCATTATTGAAAATTAATGAACTTGTTCTACTAAAATCGATATTAGTCAGTTGTTTGCATGCAGAGCTACTAAATGAATTCAAACAATCAGAATTACTTGATTTACTTAATACATATTCGGACGAAATAAAATACCAATAGAAGAGGAAAATATACATAAACATTTTAGCACTTATGAAATGAGAACTAACCAGTTGTTTTAATATTTGTGATTATTCTTTTGTTGGATAATATTGTAATTCAAGTGCTTTTTCAACACATTGTATCATAAATAGTGGTACTATAGGCAAAATTATAACGATAATAGCCTTGCCTCGTGCATGAATGAGGACAGAAAAAAAGGATTAAATAAAAAAAAGAGAAAATAAAACAAAATATATACGAGTATAAAAAAGAAAACAAGCTGTTTCTTCCCTATCGCATTTCAAAAAATAATTAACGGAATATGATTGCGATCTCAACTGAGTGCGTCAGCTTACCTATCTGCATTAATAAAACAAAAATCGATTAGTATGGGGCAGAGAAGTCTTCTCTTTTAGAGTTGGGTCTGTGTCGCATAATAAACAAGGTAAACTTGGCATACGATCCGAATTTGTTTTTCTACACTTGCACAGTAGTAATGATTAAATCAGATACACCTCGTCGTGAGCTTCTGATAGTGTATCTGTTTGTCTCCTAACAATAAAATCTACATGAAATAATTACTATACATTTCAAAATATAGTGTGGATGATTGCGACATGAATAAGGCGAAAACGGAATGAGTATCAAGTTTTCGCCATCGTGTAGCCAAGATCGCGGCACGTAATAATAAACAGAAACCAAAATTTTTGTGTGGCTTTCTGAAGGATTTCTAAGTGGATCTCTGGAAAACTATCTTATAACTCCAAAGTTTTATACAGAAATGTATTAGTTTGTTTCATATATGGATAGTTCAAGGTATCCTGTGCAAAACCAGATCCAAGCAACATCTTCAAAATCCATGGTTTGGGAGCTACGGGCGTTTTCCTTGAAGCTTTAGAACTCCACTGTCCTTAGGTCTGAGACTGTCAGAAATTAATGAAAACACAGCTTACCGACTATACTGAATATTGTGGAAACATTTTGATTTTCAGAACAGTTTCAAAACCTAGTGAAAACGTACGTTGGAGGAAATATCCCATTTTTGCCTACTTTCGCATAAAATTCAAAAATTCATAACTTAGTCAAAATCAATCCAGGCAATGTCAGAAAATCAACATGTACTCTATTTTACCTGTTCAACATTATGCTGTTCAATAGAAGCTCTAAAAATCGACAGAAAATACTCTGTTTTTTGAAAGCGTTTTCAAGAAATCTTCCGAAGTACAAGAATGCTTTTTACTATTCGCAATTAAAAAATTGTTTGAAGCAGGTAAAATAGAGTACATGTTGATATTTTGACATAAGCTGGATTGATTTTGACTAACATGTGAATTTTCGAATTTTACTGAAAAATAGGCAAAAATGAGATATTTCACCTTCACTAAGGCACGTTTTCACCAGGTTTTGGAACTGTTTTGAAAGACAAATGTTGCTACAAGATTCAGTATAGTCGGCAATTTGTGTTTTCGTTCATTTCCGACAGTCCCAAGCCTAACGGCAGAGAAGTCCTAAGGCTTCAAGGAAAATGCCCGTAGCTCCCGAACCATGAATTTTCTAAATGTCGCTTGGATCTGGTTTTGCAGAGATATCTTGGACTATCAATATATGACAGAAAACTGATAGATTTTTGTGTAAAACTTTGGAACTATAAGCTAGTTTTCCAGAGATTCACGCAAAACTTTTGATTCTTCTTCTTTATTTTTTATTATTGATCCTACGCACGAAAGAAAAATATGCACCATAAATTTATAGCACATGTAAGTCGATACAACATTAAAAACCTAACTGTTTCTATCTTTTTTGCACGGGACCGTTAACACACGCCTTGCTTATAAGCCTTGGCTTAGTATTTTATCATACATAAAAAAATACATGAGAATATTTTTGAAGTACATTGTTTTTTATTCGAAAGAAAAATTTGCACCACAGAGAACAGGGTGAAAAATCCTACAGAAATCCAGTCCTTCTCAAGTTGATTTTTCTTTCCACATACATCAATAGAGAATTCATTTTTACAGACTTTTCCATACCTTTTAAGCCTTCGAAACGCATTTTATGATGGAAAAATTAAAGAACGTTCGTATTTTCCTGAATATAACCAGATAATTTTTCTAAGAAATTGAAAGCAAAAAGTGTGTCAGATGAATTAAACCCCCCCCCCATAATAGAAGCCTCCGGGGCTTCTAAACTGTCCAAGTGTTCAAAATTTTTAGGGGGGGCTTGTATTATGAAGGGGCTACTATTACGACTTTCGTACAAAAATTTTCAGAAAAAAAAGG